TGCACGTGTAAACATGGCCAATGAATACAAACTTAAGGCATCAGCTTTCCCATTCTTCTCCAACTTAGCTCTCATGTGGCCTTTGCTTCAACTCAGGATTAACTTCTAACAGTGCAGAAACTATCTGGTGCTGCATCCATTTCCATACAAGGAACTTATTTGCCATCATCTCAAACTTCCTACTGCATTCCTGAAAGAGTCTACTGAATAGTTCCCCACCACACAGATTACTTTTCTTTCAGGTATTTCCCCAGATGGATTTTTGCACATCTTCTTGTTCTCTTCTCTTTGGACAGCTGACATAAATAAAGTGTCCCTGTGGTTGCTTTTGCCTGTCTTCCCTTTACATCAGTAGACAAGGCACTGCTTTCATTCTAGAATGGAAAGCAGAAAACAGCCTACAGCACTAGGTGACAGCAGCTGACATCCTACCAGCTCTTGATGAAACATCCTTAGATGAAGAAGTCTTACTATGAGAAGTGTAAGATGGCTGTGAAATACAGATGTTAATCAGCAGATATAGGTCTTAGCTATAACAGCTCTTTCTATGCCACTTGGATCTTGTTACAAAATGGATACATGGAAACCACATGGGTGGAGGGAGCTATTGACAGGAATCCTTCAAGAAAATTGAGTAAATGGAATCAGCTACATGATTTATTTAGTGAAAGGTTGAAGTCAACTGGCATGCCTAGAGAATGAGGGGAAAGGGCAGACAGATGGCAAAGATGACAACAGATCCATTTTAAAAAGTGTTAGGCAAGCCTCTCATTACATTATACATCTCTAGTCACATAAAGGGACCTTAAAGTAAGTTTAAATATTATTTACTTCAACACTTTGCAGCTTTTTAGGCTGCGGCAGCAGTATAGAATGGCTTTAATGTAAGTGAGAGCCTCGCACAGGACAGACGACTGTAAAAAAGCGATGATATCAAGTTATTCTGTTTGAGGCAAATTGTGATAAAAAGCACGTACCCACAAAGAGTGAAGGCTGTGTTTACAATGGCTTTCTATCACCAAGGGTGCTCCTGTAATCACAGGTCCCAAAGGAAAGAACATTTCCTTCAACTTGCAATGGCATAAAAATCTTACCAACGTTAACAAATATTTGAAAAACATTTGGCTTATTAAAATAAGATCCTCAGGTCTATCATCATCAATTTTATTTCCAAGGTTCCAATACTTTCCATCTTGAATCTCTTGGGTGCATCCCCCGTGTAGTTTACTGTGCAATAGACTAATTAGCTCCGCAGTAAAGCATCGCTGTCTATGTGTGCACAGGTTTTAGGGTGCCATAAACTAATTAACTGCTGTAAGATAGTAGTGTCAGGGAAACATAAGTGTAGACAGTGACGGGCTGGCTGCTGGGGCACGAGGGTACTGAAGTGCGGGGGCTGCCTGCTGGCTAGCCACACAGCTCTGCAGGTTCTCCACCCTTGTGCCCCAGCCAGCCCCTGCACGGTCCGATGCTGCCACCTGGAGCTGACCCCCCACTGCCAGCCCAGGGCTGCTCCGCCCCAGCTCAAAGTGCTGCTGCCCCAGGCACATGTGTATACGCCTAGCAGCGTACTCTGGCTCAAAGTGCTCCAGAACTGATTGCATTGCATTAACTGCATGTGTAAATACACCCCCTGGGTAGTACTTCACTCCTCAAATAGCTCCATCTATTACATTGGGACCACTCACGGAGGACAGATGGCAGACTATTACTCTCAGTGGGTAAATGCCCTGTTCAAACTGTAAGCTGTTCAAGACAGGGGTACTACATACAAATAAAAAGGCAGTGTCATGCATATCTGAGACCCTGCATAATAACAACAACAACAACATTATAGTAGAAGATTTATTAGACTTGTGTATTAGGACACAGTCTTCAATTTAAACCCTTAGGATCTGTAAATACAAAAATAGTATCATAAGTACATTTATTTACATTGCCTTTGGTTTGGGGCAGGAAACTAATAGTCTTTGTTGCAGTCATTTTTACAGTAGAAATTTCAGCACATTATTAAAAACTAAACAGAATGTGAGTTTCTATGTCATGTCTTGCAATAACAAAAAACAAAGGTTCCATCTTTCCTTAGTTCTTTGGAAATCAGATTGAAAGGTGGCATCAATTCATCAATTGATTTAGCAATGCAATCTGTTTCAACATGCACGGAAATATCTGTTTAGAGCAATAATCCTTGCAAAAGGTCATTAGCAGGGTACTTTAAAGATCAGACCAATTCTGGATGTTTAAGTGTTCATACGAGTTTTGTGGCTTGAAGCTAATTAATAAAATCAGTCTTCTCTCCTATTTAGGAATAAAGAGTTTTGTAGATGATGCTAATTGCTTCTAAACTCAGAACTTGAAAAAAATTCATCATACACCTAATCTCTCACAGAACGGAAACGCACAGCTCAGAGGAAAGATAGTGGAGCCTTTCACTGCTATATCACAAACTCAAATCCACGTTAGTATTAAGCAGCAGTAACTGTTTACTGATGATTTTCAATTGGAGTTATATACACGTAGTGAAAGAATACCGTTTTACTGTAACCTCATTCTAAGCACTGTTTTAAAAAGTTTTTTAGAAGAGTTAGTTAACTTTTATTCCATTATACTTTAGCAACTACAATCTTATGGGTATACAGGGCTTCCAGAAAAATAAGGTTCATGATTTTCCTCTTTTGGGTATCACAGATACCTATTCATTTAAATAGAACATGTTTGATTATTGGAAATTAATGAGAAAACCAGATATTTAGAAAACACACCCTGTGTGATGTACCTGAGAAAAGGACCAGGTCTACAAAAGAGTTATATTGCTGATATTTGAAGAAAATGGAAATGAAGTTTTGCTCTGTAGTTCCTAATTTATCCGTGTATTATCAAGTCTCTTTCCACTAAACTCCTTGTTAGTTTGAGACTCGAATCCTGCAACACTTGCATACATATGTAACATCACTTCTGCAAGAAGTTCTATCAAATTTAGATGGGCTGCTCTGAACAGTATTGCCAACTCTCATGAATTTTGGCATTGTCCTTAAACTCTACGCTTTGAGAATGGGAAAAACTTAGCGTAGACTTTAAGAACACCAAAAATCATGAGAGCTGGCAACACTGATCTAAGTTATATACATACATAAGTTTGAGGGATTGGGGTCTAAAAGAATGCTATTACAATATTTTATTCCATGACTCTACAACAGTTTAGCAATAAAGACACCATTTTTCCAGTTGAAACTGGAAGAATTAAATGTTCTCTCAAGCAACAACTACATAATCACCAGTTTCATGCTGCTTGCAACAAAATTTGCTAAATTAATCTTCTTATCTATGTAGAAACATTAAGTCTTATACAGACTACTTGTTGATTCTAGAGCCCAAAATTTGAACATCATCATGATTTTCACCTCTGGTAGAACAGGAACTGGACTGTTCAGAGGAACAGTAACAGACATGGAGTCTACCTCTCTAGATCATAAGCTCAAACCCAGGTTAGCATTGGCCAAACTGATCATTACGTGATGATTCAGCCATTGTAAAAAGGCAGTGAAAACACACTGATGTGGAGCAAGTTTATTCTGAGTACTGCTTTGAAAACTTGCTCTCCCGCACAAATTTATTGCGCGGCTGGATATGGCCAGTAGAGCATTTCTGTTAAAGCTTCCTCACGACTGAGTAAACCAGCGAGCCCAACAGACCGTCATATCAAACTGTGAGGGAGCACGTGTCCAGGTGAGCAGGGAAGCAGCACTCACTCATGCGCTCACTACTTTATCTAAGGACAGATGATTCAGGGATGTATGTGACAGCTGTGTTAGTCTGAGACAAAAGAAATGCAAAAAATCTACAACTCTTGGTTCCAAAATGATACCTTTGATTAGCTCAACTGAGAAATTGAAAAAAAAAAAAACTTTTTCTGCATGCTTTCTTGCAAGAAAAAGTTTCAGGAAGCTTGAAAGCTTTTTCTTGCAAGAAAGCTTGGAGAAAAAGATTTTTTTTTGCAATTTCTCAGCTGGTCTAATAAAAGGTATCATTTTCTACTCTGGGTTTCTTTAAGAAACACTTGGATGCCTATCTTGCTGGGATCATTTGACCCCTGCTGACTGGGGGATGGATCCGATCATCTTGCGAGGTCCCTTCCAGCCCTAACATCTATGAAATCTGTGAAATTTTGGAACCAAAAAGTTCTAGCTTTTTGCATTTCTTAAGAACAGATGAGGCTGCCGTCTCGACGCCTGACTTCAGAGGCACACGGGCAATTAAAACCACCACGCGGAAAAGGGCTGTATGGGAAACAGTCAGATGCTCATCTCGCCGGGCGTGATCTGAACCCAGCTGACTTCCCGCCCCTGGGGTTGGACTCGACGCTCTCGCGGGGTCGAACGAAATCCATGAAAACGATATACTTGGAAGAGGAAACCACACCCACAGGCGCTTTATTACCCGACGGGTTGCGCAAGCCCTTTCCTACCCAACCTTCGTAGGCCAAAGTGAAAGGAACCAAAGCTCAGGAGGCCTGCGAAGACCTCAAAGCCATGCGGGGCCAGCGGCCTCCAGACCCATGTGCTCTCTGGGGTCAGGACTCCCACGTGGGGCAGGACCCCGGGGGGGGGGGGGTGGAAGCAGTAGGGCACGGCCCCCCCCCCCCCTCAAAGCCCCCC